GGGATGATAATCACCTCGTCGTGGGTCAGCTGGTCCAGTACTGGGGAAACTAGTCTATAGAAAAGCATATCAAGAGGCTCCATTTCATCGTCTTCTTCGTCTGGAATGCATCTGTCAACCTTTTGAAAAGCTTTGAGAGCATTTTCACTAAGCTGCGAGGAGTTTGTCGAGGSTGCACACTCCAGGTCTTCATGCTCTAGTGACTTCATTGATCTGTCTTCGCATTTCATTCCTTTTCCTTCTCTAACATTCAGCTGCTGGAAACAGTTGTCAACGAGATATTGAAAATATCCCGCTTCGGTATGTTTTCTCTCATCATCAGAGAGGCTCGACAAAATTGTTGCCAAAGCATCGCGGTTGTCCACTTCATCGTAAAAGAAGGTAGATGGATTTCGGGATGATATGATCCAGCTATGATAAGTAACTTTGTTAAAATCAAGATTGTAAAAAAGAATGCAGCCTTCACGATGAGAGGAAATTGTCTTGACATCTGCAAGTTCTAGTGCTTTTGTTTCTGCTTTGTCAGTTGTGTTGTATTTAAGGGACAAGAGATCTCTCAAAGCACGTGCTCGCCCATGTTCACATACTAAGAGAGCTTCTTCACTTTGTCTTGTTTCGATGTAGACTTGGCCGAGGATCTTGTAGGTTTTGATGAATGTATCGACAATTGAAACCTTGAATTGGTCATTGTCTTTTAAATCATCAAACAATTTCTCGTAGCATTGTATGCTCTTCTCTAGGTGTTGTTTTGATTTGCTGAGGTCTTTAATGCTTGATTCTAATCGATAAACATTACCTTAAATAGAAAGACGATTACCTTGGATTAGACTTCTAACATGTACTAATTTTAACCTGCAATTAACTTAATAGTCAGAACAGGACTAGTAGTTTTGATACAAAAATGATGTTGTGACTGGTAGAATATATTATTTGATCTTAGTCGATCATTAAGAACGGCTGCGAGGAGTAATAAGTAATATTTCTGATGTTACTATGTTATATTAGATATTAAAATGATAATATTAATTAGTTAATTAATTTAAACGTATGTTTGCATCATATCGTCATATCAGACATCTAACTGACAAATGGGTGTGCCCGATACGAATTTGCGTGAGGTGTTTCGTGCAAGTAGATACTTGCAGGGTCAATAGAATACTGCGGTAATGTCGCTGAACGGTTATATTGCAGCCAATAAGATTTTTAAAGTTTGGTTTTGTGTTTTTGAATTTTATACGACCTTTTTATCATTATTATTTTCAACAAATTCAACAGCAAAATGAAAGTATGTAGCCAAGGCTGCTATGATGTTGAAAATGTATATTGTGAATCCAAGCTTTCGCTATACTACAGCATCATTAGGGAATAACAAGAAGAAGAATATCCTTGTCAATTTACGCCTTTTAGAGGCATTGTTCATCAAGTCATTCAAACCCACTATATAACTCACACGAGGAATGTCGAGAAATGCAAGACTTGTTATTTTGACTTAAATTTCCTATCTACTCCATGCCTATTGGTCGTTCACCGTAACGCCTGATCGCCCAGCTCTTATWAGYCAAGGATATTCTTCTTCTTGTTATTCCCTGATGATGCTGTAGTACAGCGAAAGCTCGGATTCACAATATACATTTTCAACATCATTAGCAGCCTTGGCTACATTTGTATATATTTTTTTCTCTCAATCATGCTGCTAAAGGATACCTTCACTCGTCAACAGCAAAATATATTTTTTTTACAAACATTACAATATAGAAATATTCTTGGCATGGATCATAAAATAAATATACGCAATTTATCGCCTTGGTAAGTGATAATAATGAATTGTACCCTGCGAGCAGAGTGTATTTCCTTACCTCAATAAAAATTCGCGAAGGAAAATAACACTGTGTTATTTTCCTTCGCGAATTTTTATTGAGGTAAGGAAATACACTCTGCTCGCAGGGTAAATGAATTGATAATGTATAAAAATATTAACTGTTACGCTTTTAGGAAAGAATTTCTAAGAATACTCTCTTCTCTTCGGGTCGTGTCATCAGGGATGACAGCGATAGAATGTACGCCATATGTGTCCCGATCGCTCATGAGTGTCTCGAGTTCCGGGATCGTACAAGATGTGTCGTTGAGTAAGGTGTCGACAAATGAGGTCTGGGGCTTTCCTCTGTTTGCATATAGCCATGGAAAGCCAACCAGGTCACTGTGATATGGGCTGGCGAGGACTTGTCCCGAAAGACATGCCCAGCAAGTTTCAACCTTCTCGAACGGATAGCCTCTGAGACTTTGTCGAGTGATCCGTACAGTGTTACATTGTTCACTTTCTCCCTCCAATCAATGTTTGACACAGCTTTCCTCAGCATCCGCGTGTATGTCCCGTCAAGAGCTTTCTCCTCCTGCTTTGTGAGGGTCCAGGTGGAACTGCCATAGAGGAGTATGATCTCGGTTGTAGTAGCTCTGAAGAGTTCTAGCTTGATATCTAAGAATAAGAATACATTTCGAGCATATATTACGTACCTATATTATGATGGCACTCTGCTTGTCTATCTCTGCCACCAATCTCTTTAGCAATGGCTAGGTTCTTTTCCTCATATTCAATCGACTTGTAATATTCCCCTAATAATGCATAGACAAGCCCTAAATTTGCATAAGCATTGCCTTCTTCAGGTCTGACACCAACCTCTTTAGCTATGTTCAGTGACTTTTCGTTATATTCAATCGCCTTGTGAAATTCTCCAAATGATGTATAGGCACGCCCTAAATGTCCACAAGCAGTTCCTTCTCCTTTTCTGTCACCAATCTCTTTAGCTATGCTCAGTCCCTTTTCGAGATATTCAATCGCCTTGTGATATACTCCAAATGATTTATAAAGAAATCCTAGATTTAAATAGGCATCTTCTTCTGCTTTTCTGTCACCAATCTCTTTAGCTATTCTCAGCATCTTCTCGAAATATTCCATCGCCTTGTGATATTCTCCCAATGCTGCATAGACAGCTCCTAAATTTCCATAAGTAGCTCCTTCTCCTTGTCTGTGGCCAATCTCTTTAGTTATGATGCTCAACTTCTTTTCGTGGTATTCAATCGCCTTGTGATATTCTCCTAATATTCCATAGACAACCCCTAAACTATCATAGGCATCTCCTTCTATTTGTCTGTCACCAATCTCTTTAGCTATGGTCAGTCCCTTTTCGTAATATGCAATCGCCTTGTGAGATTCTCCTAACGATTTATAGACAATCCCTAAATGTACATAAATAGCTCCTTCTACTTGTCTGTCACCAAACTCTTTAGCTATGCTCAGTCCCCTTTCGTAATATTCAATCGTCTTTTGATATTCTCCTAATGAATAATAAGCATTCCCTAAATCTCCATAAGTAGCTCCTTCTCCTTGTCTGTCACCAGTGTCTATAACTATGCTCAGTTTCTTTTCGTGGCATTCAATCGCCTTGTGATATTTTCCTAATGATTTATAGCCATTCCCTAAATTTCCATAAGTAGCACCTTCTCCTTGTCTGTCACCAATCTCTTTAGCTATGCTCAGTCTCTTTTCGTGATATTCAATCGCCTTGTGATATTCTCCTAATATTTGATAGACAACCCCTAAATGTACATAAATAGCTCCCTCTACTTGTCTGTCACCAAACTCTTTAGCTATGCTCAGTCCCTTTTCGTGATATTCAATCGGCTTGTGATATTCTCCTAATGAATCATAGGCATTCCCCAAATCTCCATAGGTATCTCCTTCTCCTTGTCTGTCACCAATCTCTTTAGCTATGCTCAGACTCTTTTCGTGACATTCAATCGCCTTGTGATATTCTCCTAATGATGAATAGGCACCCCCTAAATTTCCATAACTAACTCGTTCTCCATGTCTGTCACCAATCTCTTTAGCAATGGCCAGGGCTATTTCGTGATATTCAATCGCCTTGTGATATTCTCCTAATGATTTATAGGAACCTCCTAAAACTATATAAGTATCTTCTTCTACTTGTCTGTCACTAATCTCTTTAGCAATGGCTAGGGTCTTTTCGTAATATTCAATCGCCTTGTGATATTCTCCTAATAATTGATACGCACTCCCTGAACGTAGGTTAGCATACATCTCTAGAGCATAATTGCCTTTTCCAGCAGCAGTGTGGCCAAGAACGTTCTGGAAATTATAGGTTATCTTAGCTGATATACGAGGGTTGAGACGGTCAAGTGCAGAAAAAATGAAGGCAATCGTCTCGGAATCATTTAGGAAAATAGCCATCTTCAAACATTCCACTAACAAGGAGATCAGTTCTTGTGTTTTTGTCCGTGTGAGATTAAGATCACCACGATGATATGCATACGACACACAAAACCTGATGAAAAGTTTTGCGATCCTCACATCCATGGAGGCAATAAGTGTTGGATTTCTAGAGAAACAAATAAAACGTTAGAATTGCACAGTTTTTACTTGCATTTGCTGAGGGTCTGGATGGGGTATAGTGTTTAGTGTTATTTAAAAAAACCTTATTTTATAGTGTTTAGTATTAAATTTCTCTTTTTCATAATGCGGGATTAATTTGAAAAATTAATGTTTAGTGTTTCGGAGCATACCTATATACTACATTCCTGCCCAATTTTGATAATAAATAGCTAAGAAGATAAGATAAGAGCATAAACTGAGCAGAAAAGATCACAAATCACTGTTGTTTACCAGTTTTTAGCGGGCGTGGGACGAGTCTTGAGTCATACGCCCGCAACTTTTCTATTATGTAGTGAGCTGACACGAAACATATGACTTTCGTAAACATGTCAACTCGATTTTTTGTTTGAAGACACGTTAGGTGAGATCCATTAGACTTTTGATCAGGTTGGTGCAAGTGTTTTTGAGACGTCTTCAGGGGCGCGCACGTAATATCTTTTGTAAATTTACAAAAGTTTTAGTTGAGATATTTCAACATTTTGACTTGCAGGATTTTTTTTTTCGGCCCTTGCAGGAATATGTCTTTTTATATCCCTCCCCCTTTCAAAAGTCTAACAGATAACTCCTTCGAATCGAATCCTTGGTCAATGCTGACATGTAAGGTTTTAAAGGTAATGCTGTTTAAATTATGTTTGGCACTTTGAAATCTACAGGTTATGTAGGATATATTGTTCGCATTTAAACAGATTTTTTCGTTGTTTTCGCAACAACTGTTACGGCCACTGTTACTGTTATAAGGCCTGAAATTTTAATGTTTCGTGTTAGAGAGGCCAGTTGTTTTTTTAGTTCAGTCATTTTACATGGAAAATATACGACATAGACCTATTCAAACCGGAATAGCAAACTTAACGTGATGGGGAATCTTTAAGGGGGTCCAATTTGGTGTTTCTGGATGTTTTCATTTTCTGCAATCTATTGGGGCTTCGCGACTCGTACGATATCCTCGTGAAATTCATTGCSGAWTTCCCTCGTCATCCACTGAATTTTCCTATATTATCAGACCGGAAATTAGCCAATCAGAGTGYGCCTAAATAATAAATCGARATAAATCATGAATTCGAATGTTGTCCTGCAGGGTGTAAATCCACTTCCGGCGACATTTGTTTTTATTTCAAGAACCAATCAATTGGCACAGCCTAAGAAAACGAAGGCTCAGGGTACAAGATTGTAAAAAGTTGTTAATCTATAAAGATTCTCGAAAGTATTTGATTTTCCTTTCTTCCCTCAGACCCTTTTAGTAGCATCCGCATCCTACATTGTTTACCATGCAAATATCACCAACATTCAATCGCAAATAATTCAGTAACTACACGCTCAAAAAGAACTCTAATCATCACAAATATACGTAGTTTTGAATGCTTTAAAAGGATATGATTTATGTTATATTTCAGTACGATTATGA